TATGTTTCCCTCCCACAGAAACCCTTATCTGGATTTCCACATCAAATGCAAGCTTCTGCTTCTTCCCTTCATGGGTCTGCAAGAGTCTACCCACCCATGTCAGGACTCTCCATTTCTCCTTTTTTCTTTTCCCATCATCCTTAAATCCCTCTCAGCCTTGTCTCCTAATGGCCTCCTTCTATCTGCTTTTGTTCTCATTTTTGTATCTTCTTTCCCCCTTGACCTTGCTGCTTCCCCCACCTCTAGCTTGCATCTCAGTCCCCATCCCTTTGCATCATAGCACCCATAAAAAACCCCAACTGATCTTCTTTCAGATAGTGTCCTCATGCATTTTTTAACTTCAGTATTGCATCTTATCTGTTTGAATGTCTCTTATAAATCCGTTTGGTATAGGAATCATATTTTTCCATTTTTTTTCCTTTTGAAACAAGATGTTCAGTTTAAAAAAAAGCAAACTTCTTTAATTTTGAGGAAGAAATTAATGTCAGTTGATCAACTGCAAACACATGGGGGAATTAATTTTGAAAAGCTATAATGTGTAATGTGCATAAGCAAATAAAGCAGACACCTTGAATGTCAGTACAAGGGGGTTCTGTTTCACGCCACTGTCCCTGTGCCTTTATTGCTTTTGGGTTAGTTCAAATGTGGATCTTAGAGTAGCAAGGAATAAAGAAAATGAAAGGGAGGAATGAAGGAGAGTGTGTGAGCATAGGGAAGAAAAGGAAGTAAGAACATGATTCCCCTCTAGGGAAGAAAGAGGGTTTATTAATCCACTGGCAATTGTTGTGTCTTGAGAGAATAATTTTTTCCATCTTGCGTGTTGTGCTATTTTCTGATTCCATTCCTTCAGGCCGCAGTCCAGCAAAGCACTTAAGTGCATGCGTACATTTAATCACATGATCCAGCCTACGGAAATCAGTACTACTCATGCACTACTCATGCACTTAAGTGTTCTTCTGGATTAGGGTGATAAAAGAGGATGACTTAGATCTGTCCAGTATGATAGGACCTTCTAGGGCTTCATTCAAGCCTGGCTGTAGCCATTGTGTGTCTCCCTTCTGATGTCATTGGGCTTTGGGATAGACCTTTAAAGAGGGTGATTGCTATTAAGCCTGAACTAAAATATACAGCAAAAGGGAGCGTCTCTATCCAGATTCATCAGACGATTTTTTACAAGGGTAAGCCTGTGTGGCACTTTACAAGTAAGGAATTGCCTTTGCGCAATAGGAGGACTGCTTTTTCCCTTTTGTGCTTTTACTACTTTTTTGCATTTCCAAAAAGGATTTCCTTGTGTTTTGTATCTTTTGTTTACACTTTACATAGTTTGATATGTAACAGTTAACTGTCTTCAAATCAGGCAAGTGGAAAAAAAACACCCTGACAGAATACTGTATTAACTGAAATAGATTTTGTTCAGACCATTAAGGGATCACTGCAGAATGGAAATTTCTGGTCTGCTGCTAGATTCTTGGTAAACTCTGCTTCCCTAAAGGGTCTCATTTGGGTATTAAGGAGAAACTGAGCTGCTGAGATTTTGTGAGGCTGAGTCCTAGGAGAAAAAAAGTCATTTAATTTAGGTCTTTTAATATTTTCCCCTAAACTGGTTCAATTCCAAATGTATACAAAGGCGAGAAGTATGGGAAATAAACAAGATGGGTTGGAAGCTGCAGCCTGTGAAAAGATAGATGATCTGATCAGCGTCAGTGAGACCTGGTGGGACAGCTTTATGATTGGAATGTCAACAATGACGATTACACTCTGTTTTGGAAGGACAGTGTTGGGAGAGAAAGGTGATGGTGTTGCCTAGTACATCAAAAACACACACGCTTGTTCCCTGGTTCAGGGGGAAGAAGACAGCAAAGAAAAATGCATTTGGATGAAGATGAATAATGCATCACCAGTATAATGGTGGAGCCATCAAATCTGGAAGAGGAGGTGGATAAGGCACTCTTCAAGCAGGTTACAAATCTGTGGTACTGATGGGAGACTTCAATTTTCCGGACATCTGTTGGAAAAATAATGCAGCCGAAGATAATGTCAAGCTGGTATCAACTTGTGTGGAGGACAACTTTCTGTTTCAGTAAGTGGATGATATAATTAGGGGATCATCTCTCTTGAATTTTATCCTGACCAACAGAAGAACGGGTGAAGGATGTGAAAGTGATGGGTAACTTGGGAGGAAGTGATCATGATGTGATAGAATTCCAGATCCTGAGATGGGGAAAGCATGAGGTCAGCAAAATTGGGATGCTAGATTTCAAAAAAGGTGGATTTTGTCCTATGCAAGGAGCTAATATGCAGAGTGCCATGGAAAGACAGACTGTGAAGGATAAAGGTGCCTAGGAAGGCTGGGAGCTTTTGAAGGGCACAGTATTGGAAGTCCAACAAGAAGCTCTCCCAACATGGTAGAAGCACAAGAGGAATGGCAAAAAAAACTAATGTGACTGCACAAGGAGCTTCTTAAGTGCTTCAGATGCAAAAGGAAATTATACAGGCAATGGAAGAGTGTGCAGATCACCAAAGAGGCATACTAGGAAATAGTAAGAACTTGCAGGAATAAAATCGGGAAGAACAAGCTGCACCTGGCAAAGCAGGTTAAGGACTACAAGAAGAGGTTCTGTGGCCAGAAAAAGAAAAGAAGGACCAAGGAATCTGTGGATCCTCTGTTAACAGGCCAGGGAAAACTCCTAACAGAAAATGCAAAAAAGGCAGAGCTACTTAACAGCTACTATGCCTTAGTGTTCACAAAAAAATTAGGCTGCAGCCAGACACATAATAAGCATTATTTGGTTAAAAAAGAGACAAGCTGAGGGATGAGGTAACAAAAGAGTTGGTCAGAGAGCTTTTGATTGGTCTGAGTGAATTCAGGTCAGCAGGGATAGAAGAACTTCTAGGGTACTGAAGGAATTGGCAGAGAAGATCTTGGAGCCCTTTGAAACAATCTGTATGGTGTTGTGAGACAGGCTGCATGCCAGACAACTGTAAAAGGGCAGTGTAGTGCCAGTTAAAAAAAAGACAAGGAGGACCTGGGGAACTAGAGACCAGTTAGCCTCATCTCTAACTAGGAAGTTACTGGAGCATGTCCTGAGGAAGGCCTTTTGCAAAAATCTGGGGGAGGAAAGGCAGATCACAAGCAGTCAGCATGGATTTATAGAAAACAAAGTGTCAAACAAACCTGCTCTTTCCTCCTTTGACAAAGTAAGTACTTGGGTAGATGAAGGGAATTCTGTGGATACAGTGTATCTGGACTTCAGGAAGGCTTTTGACATGACCTTATCATAAGTAAATTGGAGAAATGTGGGGTGGACAAAACTACTTTAAGGTGGATAGGTAACTGGCTCAATCGCCGCAAGCAAAGGTAATTAGTAATGGGTCCATGTTAGAAAGGCAGGGGGTTTTGAGTGGAGTCCCACAGAGGTCCATCCTGTGCCCAGTGCTGTTCAACATGCTTATTAATGATTTGGATGCTAGCACAGAAAGCTTCTTGAGCAAGTTTGCAGACGACAAAACTGGGAAGGATTGTGAACACATTGGAGGATGTCAGTGCAATTTGGAAGGTTCTCGACAGATTGGAAAGCTGGGCTAGAGCTAACAGAATGAAGTTCAGTACAGACAGATGTAAGGTACTACACCTTGGGAAGAATAATCGAAAGCACAAATAAAATGGGAAACCTGTCTGGATGGCAGCGCTGTGGGAAAGGATTTGGCAGTCTTGATAGGTCACAGACTCGATGCGAGTCTGCAGCGTGATACAGCTGCACATAAGTTGAACGTGGTTTTGGGCTGCATCAATAGAAGCATTAGGTGCAAGACACAGGTGGTGGTAGTGCCTCTCCACTCGGCACTACTTAGGCCTCATCTGAAATACTGTGTGCAGTTCTGGGCTTCACGTTTTAAAAAGGATGTGGAGAAGTTAGAGAGGGTCCAGAGGCTAGCAACAAAGATGATAAAGAACTTGGAAAGCAAGTCATACAAGGGGAGGCTGAAGGAGCTAGGCATGTTTAGCTTGTGGAAAAGGCTGTTAAGAGGGGACATAAGTGTCTTCAATTCCTGTTAAAGCCTGTAGCATTTAAAGGTGCTTAGCACTTCATAGAAGTGTATCCTTATAATACTAAGTACAACTCTCGCACAGGTTTGGTGACAGTGCAGCATCTTAATCTGGGTCCTGAGGAGGAGGAGCTTGCTTGCAGTCATAGTATGCTAAACCCAGGCATCACTTCAAAGGCAACGGGAAAGGGTTCTTTCTTTAATTTTAACAAGGAAGGAGAGATGCCTGTGGTCTTTACAGCAGCAAAGCCAAATGTTTGTAAATATGAGAATGTATGCTTGTAAGAACAGGCAAGCTAGTGGTCTGGTTGTACATAAAGAGCAGAGAGCCCTAGTGTTCTTATTTTAAAATATGAATGGTGCCTGTCCTGAGGCAGATATTAGAACAAGGTAAAGTGTCCTGTCATCACCTCCAGTATCTCTAAGTACATTTGGAGTTTGTGTTCTACCACGTGATTCTACTGCTCTACCAAGTACGGGTGATGCCTTGGTCATAGTAACCCAGAGAAGAGCATCAGATGACTGACTGATCCCACGGCTGCCATCCAGCAGTGTCCTGAAGCATGCCTTTTCTCAGTTGGCCAGTGATGTTGCTTCCCTAAGCATTTGCAAACCCACACATCTCCCATTCACCCAGTGTATTGAACCACTTAGAAATGTGGCTAGTTGTTCCATTGCTCAAGTGTGAACAGAGCAATTTTGAAAATTTGGCCTTACTTTTGGTTGCGGAGCTCTGTTGATAATCTGGGCCTATATCTCCTTCTTGCTATATAAAGTCTGCTTGCTATTTTAAAGTCTTATAAAACCTGTGTGTAATTCCTAAAAGTCCAACAACCTGTGATGGGACTCTGGTAGTTTATAACAGACTGCAGTTGTCTTTGTTACTGTCTAACTTTTTGACTCTGGAGATAATGCAAGTAATTTTGTTTCTCATTTTACCTGCTCTCTTACAGCTGGAGGAAGGAGAACGTTTCGCCAAGATAGTGATAGAACTAGGTGAGGCTACTGGAGAGTTCCTCGCGAAGGGTTATCTGGCTCTGGGGCTGACATACAGTCTTCAAGCTACTGATGGTAAATTATCTTACATTGTACATAAAGCAGCCATTCTAAGTCTTCAATACATGCAACAGAAATTTATTAAAGGCTAAACTGTGGCAGATCATGGAAGGTAATCAAACTGCTGGGCCCAGGGAGACTCTTCATTGGCTTCTGAACATCTGTTTTGACAGAAAACATGGAATTTTCTTTTTATTAAATGCAAAAATAAACTTTTGATCAGGTTTCCTGATAGTTTGAGAAGAAGTTGCATTTATTCTGGCTAACAGTTCTTGGGTGGGGTGGCACTTTAATTGAATATTTGTAATAATTTTTCCAGATGTCATTTATTTGCACAGTAAAATCCAGTTTCCTATATATTTTCACATGTTGTTACCTATTCGAAAATCTCAGAGAAGCATGGTCTAAGGGCTGAAACTATGAACTCTTTCACTCAACTTTTGGCTTGAATCTGACTTGGTAGAACTGAGGAAATCACTTGATTTCCTTAGATTTCTGTCCTTCTGCTTCTCCTGGCATTGGGGGGAAATGGTCAGGAGGAGACCAGGGAAACAATCTCTGCGTGTAGTGGATATCGACCTGGAAATATGTTTGTACAGAGCTTTGAACTGGATGTGTTAAGTGAATGCTGATCATTGTGTTTTAATATTGAATGAAGACTCTGAAAAGTCAGTGTATGAGGATGCAAAGTATTTGACAGCCCATTGCATAGGGATCAGGAAGGATTTCTACCTCTGTTTATCACCAGACCCGCAGCATGGAGTAGCTTTCTTAATTTATGCCGGGACTTCATTAGTAGTATTCCAACCTAGTTTGTTTCAGTAATGACTGAATCTCCTTGTGTTCCAGTTGTGCTGCACAGTGCCCTCTTTTGCACCAGATCCATCCACATTCACTTTGTTTTGGACTTGCTTGTTGGAAGGAATTTGTTGTTCCTGAGGCAGGTCATTTACAGAAGATCTTGCTGTGCAGTGTAGTCAGTGACTACAGCACTTTCCCAGGCAGCCCTTCAACAGAGCACTCCTCCTTGTTGGTTGTCTTCATCAAATAGATCCTATTCTTCAGCAGTACAACCCACTGCAATTTTCCAACCATATACATAGGATCCAAAGAGCAAAGATTCAGAGAAGAGCCCTTCCAATAGCTTGTAATATGTTAAATAAGTCTTTCTCCCTGTAAAACAATAGCCAATAAAAGATATCTCCCCCAAAACTCCATGCCTGTCGCATATTCCTTCAACCATCACTGCTGTAGCCTCACGCCAACACCCCAATCTCTCTCCTTTTGTTGTTTCGCCTCCCCAAATTAGTTCCTTTCAGAAAGTTGATATCCATAGCCCTATGTCCTTACCAGCCTGAACTTTCCCCTATTTTCCGAAGTGTCTTAAAACGTTAAGAGTCCTGAACAGTGGCCTAGTTCCTGAAGGCCACGTGCCCAGATTTTGTTTAGTTTGTTTCTAAGATTGTACAGGATCCCAGAGACTGTTTTCAGAGGTTGAAGTTTTGTCTATTAATAAATAGTAAGGTGTAGATATCCTCTGTGCTGAAACTTTATTAATAGACTTCTGAAGAGTCAAGTTGTGGAAGAGTCTGTTGGACTCTGTAATGATGATGAAAATATGTCCTGAACAGCGATGAGGATTTTAAGGCCTTCTGTTGTGGAACCTGAGACTTTTTTTTTCTTTTATTCCAAGAGGTTAACGGGGTTTCAGAATGTTCTGACATACAGCATGTCCCTTTAAATAAATGCATAACTCCCTATTGCAGATCTGCATTTATATCCAAGTTCGCTTCTGGATTCCATAAAAAAAAAAGGATGGACTTTCTGGTTCTCAGACCACGTTTGTTGTTTTTTTTTAAACTAGAGGGCCACCATTTTCAAATGGCAAATTCTTTTAGGGGAGCTTATTTCTTATTCTTTCTTCTTTGAGATTATCTTTTAATAAAGTGGTTTAAAATCCGTGAAATGTATTTGGTAACAAATATATGAATATCATGGCATTTTAGCAGAAAAGGCCAAATCGGTACTGAAGGAACATTTTTATGAAATGCCATAGGAAGAATACAACATTTATCATAACAAAGAAGTAAGAGTTGAAGGAGATGAAAAAAGGAGAACTGAACTTCTCTATAATCCCCTTGTTTTATACTGAGAAATGTTAATGTGTCTGTTTGGGGTCTGTGCACGTATAAACAGAGTCATAATGACAAATGTGACCACAAAATGTAACGTGTGTGTGTATAAAATGTTAACTTTTGTAACTTTACATTTAAATTGACTTCTGACTGATTCAGTGCTAGCTAACACATTTTCAGAAGCACTTGACCTGCCTTTTTACAAAATTCACAGGAGAATGTCAAGATATTTTCTGGCAATGATTAGGCTTCCTTTTTTTAACTTCTACTTTATCATGTGTTTAGTAACATCTTATATGATGGAGGCTTAAGAGCCATACAGACTTTGCCCTATGGCCTTGTTTGCTTTTCAGTATGACTTCCTTTAGTGAAGTTGGATGAGGGGGAACCATTCTGAATATCATTAAAACATTGCTAACCCTTTTGAGTAATTTCCAAAAAAGTCACTGTACATGCATTAGAGCAGGGGGGTATTGTGGACCCAGTGAATAACACCACCATTTTTCCTTCATTCTCAGCAAGTACAATCTTGCTTTGCTCACAGTGTGATCTGATTTTTCTCTGGGTAGTTTTGTTTATGGCTGAACTCTGTTTTGATAGGTTGCTGCTGAAACATTTTCTTGCTGTCCCAGTTTTGACATTGCCTGTTAGGGCTAACTCTGCTTCCCTTGGGTCTCATGCTGAATTCATATAAGACAAAAGAAAGTGGGATGACCTTAAGGCCTGACAAGGATGGAAAAAATCACCAAGCACAGAATACATTGTAAAATGCAAGTCCTTTTTGTAGTGGCTGCTTGATTGTTAAATCTTCCTAGGTTTTTACCAGACTTCCCCCTCAAGCATATTCGGAATGTTGAAATGAAGAAAAAGAACAGCATTTTTGCGTCTGAGAACTTTAGATATATTACCACAGATCAGGGACAGACTTGGAAATGTTTCCCAAGCTTTCCAGAATATCTTATACCTAGTGTATTGAGGGCACAAGCTAATGTAAAAAAGCTGCAGGCACTGAACCAGCTCTAAATTGCTTATCTGGAGACCAATATTCAAATTGCATTCTTTCATATTTGATATATAGTAACAAGAATGCAGGGCTGCAGTATATAGGAAACTCAATTAAGGTAACATTTTCAAAGCCATTGAACAAACATATCTTGTATTTTTAAAAGGAGTCTAGGTACTTTTGGAGATCTGACACTTAAGCACAAAAGTCCTATGGACTGTATCTATAAGACTTACTCTCTGAACAGTCTGGATGAATGAGGAAAATGGAATGAGTTAAAAGGGGGCAGAGACTTAGTGCATGTTGGTTGCCCCAGGGCAGTTATCCTTTTGTCCTACCTTACCCTCTGCAGTGACATACCCCTGTTTGACTAAGAGGGGTAAATGTCCATTCAAATTTCACTTCCTGAGAGGAGAAAGCAGGCATATGGACAGTTACTGTGGTAACGTAGCAGCTGACTCATGCTATGTCCCTTTCCCTTGTAACTCTGGGTGTGCATAGAAGTAAGTCCCTTTTGAAACATTTCCAAGTGAAACACACTTGGAAATGCTTCAGAAAGGAAATATTTCAACTGAGGGCGTGTGTGACCCATGTGATGGCTCTAGAGTATTTCAAAATGCAGCCATTAGAGAAGGGGTGGAGGATGTCTCTGGAGGAGCTGTGGGAGGGGCTCCCCAGCTCTCTGCTGCCAGGCTTCTGACTCTCCAGCCCCAGTTCCCTCTACCTCCTGTATTCCTCTTCTTGCCAGAGATGAGGAGTAAAGTGGACTGGGGCTGAAGAGCCTGGCCTTGGGGGCAGTGTTTGATCCCTAGTGCTGGAGCAGCCAGCATCAGGGAAGCAGGACCTGGCAGCTGTAGAGTGTCAGTGAGCCTACACACTATCCACCCTGCTCTCCCTTCATCCCCCATACACACATAAAAAGAACTGAAATACTTCCAAAAGATAGTATTTTGGAGCACTTCAGCTGCGCGTGTACACCCATTCTTTCGAAACATTTTGGTGGTTACTTCTGTCCGTGCCTTCACTGTAACATGCATGTCTATATCCAGAGTGCCTAGGGCATTTTTGAAAATGAGATTTGGGTCACTAAGTTGTTTACGAGAGTTGTAGCCTAAGGATGTAAATAAACATCTTGTCTGAGGCAGTCCTGATTTATCCCAGTGTTTGACTTGGATTAAATTAGGCATGCCACAGTCATTTAAAAGTCTCTTTTCCAGGTTGCATTGCTGCTCCTCTGCCAGTAGGTGGCTAGCGAGAGCACACAGCCTGGCCAGATCATCTTGGGAAAAAGCACAGTAACCTGACAGATGCATACAGCCACATCCTGGGGGAAAAACATTAGTACCTTTTATCCCACTTCAGAGGGACTTCAGGTGCATCAGTGGAATTATATGGCTATAGAATCCCAGGACAAAAGGCTTTCTTCTGGGACAGATGTAAAGTCTTATTTTGCAGCCTGACAGTTAAAGAAATGTACACTGAGGTTTTGGACCATCAACAGAAGCTCTGGGCTCTGTGGGCATTTGCTTGTGCCGCAGCACCGGGCGCTTTTAAAAGTGTCCAGCACTGCGGTGCATGCAGTTGTATAAGTGGCAAAATGTGCATCAGTGCTGAGAAAATGGCAGCAGCACACTTTTGAATTAAAACACCTTGAAGGTGTTTTAGTTCAAAAGCACACTGTCACCATTTTCTGTGCGCTGCATTTTGCGACTTACACACTGTGCTGCATTGCATGCAGTTGTATATCAGTTCATGTGCAGAGCAGACTTGATTAATCAAGTCTGCTGCAACCCATCGGATCTCCAGAGAGTCGTGGGACAAAAAAGTATGTTTATAAATGTCCTGTGCCCCTACCTGTGCTGTCTTTATTAGTCTGC